ATCACCAGTGGTATAGTTCTTATTACTGTATTAATGTGATGGAATGGTTTGATGAAGGCCATACTCGGGGAGATAAGCATTTCCTTAGCCCCCAACAGGAGCGTGGGAAGGTTAAGAAGATGAAACTGGCATCACCCTAAGGAGTTCACGGTGTTTTGGCTTGCTGGCTTGGGAAGTTTAGATTCAGTCTGGAGAGATTCTGTCTTCAAGGTGGAAGCTAATAAATGCAGCAGAACTGTATCTGCACTGTCTCATGGAGTTCTTTGGGCTGAACCTGACAATTAATTTCCAAAGGTCTTCTGGCATAAGCTGGTCTTAATTTACAGTCATTATTGTCTGGAGGGTAAGCTGTTCAGTGGGAAAGCAATCACCAAGAATCCACTCTGTGACCCTTCCTGTTGTACCTCCAGATAGAAGAGGACTTTACCACGTGCTGTCTATTCACCTGGGTCAGGCAAGCAGAAGACAACTCAACTAGCAATTCAACAAATTAGAGGTCGGCACTGTGTGTTGTAAACTTTCTCTCTCGTTAATTGTTGCAATCTTTTTTTAAAAAAAGTGGGCAAGGAGCTTGGCGAACACCACAGAAAATGTAGTTGATGTTCCCGTGGCACCACGTCACTGACCCCAATTTATTGCTTGTGTTCTGCGAATTTCAGGTTGCTGTGTCTTGTTGATGGGGAGAAAACAGCAACCGGAGTTTCTTTCCATAATCTAGAGGGGGAGGGAGCTATCCACAATAAAAGCACGTGCAAAGGAAAGGGGAAAGATATATATTTTAGCATGACTTTATGCATCCGAGCTGTTCCTGATATGGGAGCCAAGGTCATCTTACCATGGTCTCTTGCAATGGTGGAATTAAGTTCAAACTCTAGATGTTTTTTAAGCTCTGCTCTCTCGAGGGAATGCTTTTCATAACATTGGCGAGCTGGAGAACACTGTAGTAAATGAAATACATGGGCTGGATTAAAGGGTTATTTCCCCAGCGTGTCAAGATGACACAAAGCTGCTTAAATTTCAGGTTGTTTTTGACTGGTCTATATCTGTCCAGAGTCATCCTCCTTCCTCTTTGACACGGCTCTTTCTGTTCTCTGCCGGAGAGGTTGGCTTTGCAACAGAAAACGCAGAACAGTTTCACGCAGCAAGAAATCAAAATTATGCAGCAGAATGTTTGGGGAGGGGGAAGAGTGTTTCAACAGGGCTTCCATGTTGGAAGGAAACTCATGCAACATGTCAGTTGTGTTTCAGTGTAGCCACAGAATGGCTAGCTCTCTAACCTGTTTGTTTGGATTAGGCTTGTATGTAGGCCCTTTCCAGAAAACCTAGGTGGAGTAAAAAATCCCCTAGAATGGGAAAGGGAATTGGGCCACAACTGAATATCTTTATTCCAGACTAATGAGTTGTATTAAAGTAGGCAATGAATTGGATTAATACACTTATATCTTGTTCTTCCAGATTGTGCCCAAAGCAGCTTAGAATAGAAGACATTAAAAATGTGGCTAAATGTAAAATTATTAATATGTTTTGGTTAGCTTAATCGATCGACTAAAAAGGTGGTCCAATTAATCAAGCAGTAGACTGCTTTAAACTATTTTTCATCAGACATTGGTAGGTTGATTAGAGGAATTTTAATCAAGCTCTTAGGAGCTTCAGTTTCTTAATTGACTGAATTTCTACTTGAATAAGAACACTCAAAGACACGCATCCGTTCTGAGATTATGCACATACAAGTCTTGAGAGCACTTTGTTTATTTCTTTGTCATCCAACCATTCATTCATTCATTCATTCATTCATTCATTCATTCATCAGATTTAGGGAGCTGCACAAGCTTTGTACAGACTCTGTGCCATGTACAACAGTTAAAAACAGTAACTAATGGAATTAAAAAATTAAATGTTTGTCCAGTAGAGGAAACATTCCAACTAACGTATGAAGTCCTAAAAAGAAGCTAGCTGTCTACCCTAACCGAAGACCTGGGGGGGAAACCAGGCTTTCAAGGACTTTCTAAACATGGTCAGGGTAAGGAGCAAATGGATCCTGGTATGGGAGGAGTGCTCCTTTCTGTTGGAGAGGGGAGGGAATGCCTTTGTTAAAGACAGGGCTTACCATGTTGAAGTGCAGGCTGATGACCAGTTGGGTTCTAGGTGCATCTATCAAATGATGCCATCTTGCAGGATCTTGAAGATAGGCCTTGTCTGTGGCCACCCCATTCTCTGGGAGAGCGCTCCCTCTAACACCCATATGCCCCTTATTTCCCCTTGTTTTCAGAACAGATTTGTTCATCTGCAGAAACAACCCCTCTGTTGGTTAGTGAAGACTTGCTCTGGTTCCTATCTGTAAAGGAAGGTCATTTGGTGGACCTAGGCAATGGGAATTTTCTGTTGCACCGACCCCCACTCCCTGAGATCCAGCTTCCCCAACTCTGCTTGGGTTTCGGAAAGCCTTTAAACATGGCTGTTTTCCCTGGTGTGGAGGTTGGGAGGGGAATAGGTCCTGTGAGGTGGATGCTATCATAGTAATTACTGCTCTTCTCAGCTGACACTACAGGTATATTTATTGCGATTGTTCTTGGCTGTTTTTATTGCATTTTGATTTTACGTTCGCCACCCAGAGTCCCTGTTACGAGATAGGCAGCCATATAAATTGGCTGAAATAAATAAATAAAGGAGAGAGAGAGAAAGAGAGATGGATAGATAGCAGTAATAAAATTAATGTACTAAGATTTCTTTTATCATGTATTACTTGTGATTTATGAACAAGTTGCTCACAGAGGAAGATTATGGATGGATGATTATAATGACATATGATCATTCTTTACTGAAAGTGTTGTGTAAAACTATGTATCCATATATACATGTATGAGAAGTCCTTGTATATATAATTTTCTTTCTTTCTTTCTTTCTTTCTTTCTTTCTTTCTTTCTTTCTTTCTTTCTTTCTTTCTTTCATCTTTTTTGAAAGAGTAAAAAGCTGGTTGGAGCAGAATGGTTTTCACCACCTTACAAAAGACGAATAAGTATCTCAGGGGTCAAAATCTCCCATAACTTGTGGGCTGCTACCAAGAAAGCATGCCTACTGGCCCCTGCTCCCCTCACCTCTCATGTTATTGGGATCCTCAACAGCTGCTCCTTGGAGGAATTCATTGGATTCAGGGTGAATCTGGGAAGGGGAGATGCTCCAATATGTCCAAAGGTATATCAAATCAGGGTTAGGTTGGGTATCGCACTGCAAAGTACAGTGGTACCTCTGCTTACGAACTTAATCTGTTCCGTGACTCTGATCGCAAGTCGAGTTGGTCGCAAGTTGAAGCAAGTTTTCCCATAAGGTTCAATGTAATTACCGTTAATCCGTTCCGGCATCCGTGGACCACGCGTCAGGGGCAGAAAAACGGCCGCTGACCACGCGGCAGGGCGGAAAAATGGCCGCGGACCACGTGGAACGGGCGGAAAATGGCCGCGGACCATGTGGAACGGGCGGGAAAATGGCCGCAGACCACGTGGAACGGGCGGGAAATGGCCGCAGACCACGCGGCAGGGCGGAAAAATGGCTGCGGACCACGTGGAACGGGCGGAAAATGGCCACGGATCCAGTTTGTAAGTCGAGGTGAGTTCGCAAGTAGAGGTAAATTTTTGAGGCCGGAGCTGATCGTATCTCGAAAATTTCATAAGTAGGGGCGTTCGTAAGTAGAGGTACCACTGTATTGAAAGAATGATCCAAGGATTCCTCTGGATCAGGATGATTGGATATGACGCATGGAACCTGCTACAAACTGTTGAAGAGTGAAGTGCTTCTGTTCAAGGAAGCTCTTCAGTTCACCAGTTCTTCTAAGAAGCTCACTTTCCTATTTTTCTTTTTTGACCTTCAGACAGCATGTGTGTTGTGTTTTCCTTTTCCGTTGTGATTTGGAGCTGTCTGGTTTTTAAAACAACTAATTAATTAATTAATTAGGTTTCTAGAAATGTGAAGGTTGCTGCTGTACAAGGGGTTCCTCACTATATTTTTTATAGGTGGGACCTATCTGGTTAGGGGAAGATCATGGCTTTATGGCTAGTAGGTAGGATGGTCTTCTCCAACCAGGTGCCTTTTGAACTTGTTGGGACTACAACTGGTTCTGCCCTCTGAGATTTTTAATATTCCCTTGTTCCCATCCAGATTTGTTTTCTCTGCCATCTTTGTTTCTTTGTTTTGTGTTTCTTGTGTTGTTATTTGTTTTTAAGTGTTTTTAACAGTTTGTAAACCATCCAGAGTTGCTGGGAGTCAGGCGGGATGTAAATTTAACGAATTATTATTATAATCAATAACACTAGTAGTAAGCTTCTGGTGGACATCCACTTGAAAAAGACTAATATAGGCTATTTGTGCTTTACAAAAATCTACCTAGTCCTTGGTTTACAGGTATCTGTTAGGAAAAATTGAACTGTTTGGTTGGCTGTTGTTGGTAAGAATGACAACATTTTAATTAAAAATAGAATAATTTCAGCTTCACAATCTCAAGTTTTGTCTTACATCATTTCCAAATGCAGCACAACTCAAAACTGTTCATGATTGCCAAAGCTGCTGAGGATTGATGAGTGCAGCATTTGCATGTTTGAATCTGTCAGTAGGATAAACAGCCACATGGATGGTTGGCATATTTTAAGCAGTGTAAATCTTCCATGTCACCCAGAATTAGGAATGGCACATTTTTTGGCAGAGACCTTGGATTAACCTGATTCCACATTTAATCTGACCAAGAGCTTAACTTCCAAGCTTCCTTCAAAAACCAAGACTCAACTGTGGGGTATATGAAGTACTGATTTATGATTATTTAATAAGGTACCTTTATTATTTTCAAAAACTCCCTCTCCTCGCTACTAAGTGGTATTTTTTTACCTCCAAAAGCTTAAGTTGCATGCCAAAAAACAAAAATTAAACTATCACAAAGAAGGAAGATTTGTGAAGAGGCCTTATAACATATGATAATTTGAGACAAGCTTGATTCCTGGCCCTTCCATGTTGTGTTCTCGGTAGAGAGATGAAAGTATTTGTCATGGTCTTCTTTCAAGATGTTTTCTCAATTTCCCAGTCTACAGCCTAGGGAAGCTTGGGGTCTCCTATTTGGGCGACTGCTGCCATCATGGTGTAGTAAATAGTCTTGCTGTTGGAGACAGGATTAACTTAGAGAGGGTGAGCACAAAGGAAAAGATCTGAGATTGCTTTCAGAGACCAATAAAACATTAGGAACTTATGGAAGCAGTTTACCCTTCCTTGCTTGACTTCCTAGTCTAGTCTATCCCTTGGGGGTTTCGTGGTGGTTTCCCATCCATGTTCTAACAGGTCTGCCTCTGCCATGCTTTTGGGGATCAGGGCCCCGTGGAGGAGGAGAGGCTGGCTCTCTATCTGGAAGGGATTCTAGGGAGGGAGTAGCCTAGAATTCATCAGTCCCAGCACTGACCAAGAAGGCTCCCCTTACTTACAAAAACCTCTCAAGAATGGAGCAAAGCCACCTGAGATGCATCTACCCAGAGTAAGGTATGTGGGCAGAAAGACCACCTTCTAAGATCTTGAAGCCCTGAGGCGTCTCTTCTGAAAGAGGACTCTGATCATTTTGCTGAGAAAGAAGAGGGGGAAAACAGCTATTCTCCTGTTTTCATCTTCCTTTTCCATTGCATGTTAACTCCCTTGGGCCCCTGAAAGCTGCGAGTCCATAAAAACCTCCCCCATCCAACCAGCAGAATGTGGGATTCAGCTTCCAGAGAATCCACTTCATTCAAGAGAGAAAGCCAAATTTCTAACCCTTCTGGCTTCAGCAATTTGCTCTATTTAACAAACTGCCAAATAGCCCCAGTTCCCTGGATCATTTAGAAATCTCTTATATTTATAAAGTAAAATACCATCAGACAATGGAAACAGCAGCATAATAGAGATAAAAAACCAGCAATAATAATAAATATTTTTTAAATGCAATAAATAAAAATAAAAAAGCCACAATAAAATCAGCATTTGGAAATGCCTGGTGACATTTGTGGACCCAGAACGGCTGAACTTGATTTCCAGCAGTGAAGGAGTCAAGCTCTGCAGCTTTACATTTGCTTTGCTTCTCAATGACTTCCCAAGCCACAATAAATTATGAAAAACAGAAAATAGGGAGTCTAGATTATTCTGAACGAGAGCAATTGTGCAAATTATGATTGATGCAGAAATGAGCTTTTTCTCATTGCGGCCGTTCTTTTGCTGCTGTTGCTCTGTTTTTTTGTTTTCCCCTAGCAGAGAACATATCGCACGCGGCACTGCCTAAATTTCTCAGAGCCTTTTTCCTCTCCAACAAACCTTTCACAAAAATAGGCTGCTAATGAGTCAGAGGCACTGGAAGCAATTTGAGAAACAATGTTGGGCACACAGACCTGGGTTGCAACAACAGAGAAGATCAGCTTTCTCCAACTGACTCTTGCCAGCGCCGGGCAGGGAGGCGGGAGGCACGACGGTCAAGGCGACACAGGTGCCTTAAGGCATCTCAGCGTGCCATGGAGTCCAGGAGCACCTGTAGTTCCAGGGGCTGTGGGGGGAAAGGTAAAGAACATCCTCCATCATTGTCAGCAGCCAGCTCCACATTCACTTCCAATTATTTCATGCCAAACCTTCCAACTCGAAAACAGCCATTTAGGATGCAAACCAGCGTTGTCGTGATGGGCCTGGGGGTTGCATTGAGCAGGAAACCAGGGTTTTCCTCCATCTCCTCCATATGGCTGTTTTGTTTCTGAAGCTGTCTTTCTTGGCCGAAGCTGCCTCATTCAAGGAAGGGAGGGAAAAGGTATAGCCCACCCAAGGGAAGCTCTACTTGGAAGCTCTACTTTGATGAGCTCCGGAAGTCCATTTATAAAAGGGATATCTAAAAAGAGACCTCCAGTTAATTTAATGCTTTATGTGGGTCCCTCAGGGTTGCACCCTCTCCCCGCTCTTATTGAACATCTACATGAAGCCATTGAGTGAGGTCTTCCGTCAGCATGGGGTTCTGCAGGTCAGCCAGGTTCTACCTCTCTATCCTGGCTGACAGAGTGATGCCCTCAAGGTTCTTTCCCAGGCACTGGAGGCTGTGGGGGCTTGGATGGGGGGAAAGGCTTTGACTCAACCCTGGCAAGACTGAGTGGCTGTGAGGTTTTGGGTCCCCTGATTCTGAGGACTGCTACCTTTGGTGCTGGATGGGCTCACACTCCCCCATAGAGAACTGGTGCACAATTTGGAGGGTCTCTCAGCTCCCCCTGGAAGAGCTGATGGCAGCCATGCCAAGAGCACCTTGCCACAGATCTATCTTGTGCACCAATTGCACCCATTCACGACCATTCATGCTTTGGTCACCTCCTGACTGGTCTACTGCAATGTTTTCTGTAGGGCGGTAGTTATAGTGTATACTAATTTTAATAGGGGCTGTCCTTAAGAACCACCTGGAAGGGAAGTAGTTATGGAGGCACCTTAGTATGCCCATGTAGCACCGCTACTTCATGAGCTCCCCATAAGCTTCTGGGTTCAATTCTTGGAGCTAGTGATCACTCATAAAGCCCTTTATGGCACAGGGCTGAATTATTGGCAGGACTACCTGTTTCCAATTATCTCTGCTCGTCCTGTAAGACCCAGCAGAACAGCACACTTTGGGTCCCTTCGGTGAAACAGTGTCGCTTGGAGGGACCCAAGATGTGTGCCTTCTTCGTCACACGGCCTGCCCTGGGGAACAACGTTCTGCCTGCGGTTCAGATGGCCCAATCTTTCTATCCTTCCATGAGGCCCTGAAAACCTGGTTCTTCTTCCAGGCATTGGGGCAAAACCTGAAAAGAGCCCATCTAGAATGAAAGATCTTGGATGAGAGATGTGGTTTTGCCCTGGATTGTTTCTGCTATTTTTTGTTATTTTGCTACTCTGCTGTTCTTTTTTCTGTTCTGCATGTTGATTATATTTTTTTTCTAGTTCCTTGCTTTTATATTCCTACAATTTGTAAGTCTCCCAGAGTCACTTTTTGCAAACTGGGTAACTGTATAAATCTAACACACAATCAAATAATCTAGAGCCGTGGACAGGTATATAAAATAATTCAGAGCTGTGGACAGGCAGTTACGCCCCTTCCTGGATCAGGAGGCCCTCCGCACGGTCACTCATGCCCTGGTCACCTCCAGGTTGGACTGCTGTAACACGCTCTACATGGGGCTACCCATGAAGAGTATCCGGAAGCTACAGCTGGTGCAGAATGCGGTGGCACGGACAGTTCTCAATGCCCCTAGGAGGGCACATATAACACCCCTT